GATCTAACCCCCCCCCGGGGGAAAACTTGAACAGGGCAAGCGTATTCCAGGTAGGCTAGAAGTCTGTGGGTACTCCCCCCCCCCCCCAGTGCTACCTTGGGCGTCTCTTGGCCCAACTCCACTTGGAGCCTCACACAACTCTTTCCCCTCTATGTGTGTTGTCTCTAAATCTCCCTTTCCACAAGACACTAGCCATTGGTTTGGTGTTCTCCTTCGTGTTCGGCATTACCTCCTAACTCCAACGCGTTCACACACCTTGCGGTAATAATGGCCCATGTTTTTCAGCAGCTGTGGTTGTTTGATGGCTTTTCTCTTCTGCCAGCTTAAATGTGCCCTTAGACCTCACAGTGAATTCATTTCAGCTTTTTTGTTCATTGGTTTAAGGCAGGATCTCACATTGTAACTCAGGTTGGCCCCAAACTCACCACAGCAAACTTTTTGCCTTCGTCTCCCAAGTGAGTGTTAGAATTACATACGTGAGCCACCATGTCTGACTCCTGTTATTTTAATTTAGTTTTTACATTTATTGTGTGTGCGTGTGCACATGTACTCAGAGGTCCGAGGATAGCTTGTAGGAGTTGGTTCTCTCCCGCACCATTGCGTGGGGTCTGAGGATTGAACTCTGGTTCTCAGGCCCAGCAACAGGTGTCTTTACCTGCTGTGCCGTCTCGCTTGGCCTTGCTATTGTTATTTATTTAAAAGTATCTTCATTTTATGTGTGTGAGTGTTTGGCCTGCATGTTTGCATGAGCACCGCGTGTGCCTGGTGCCTGCAGAAGCCAGAAGAGGGTGTCAGATCCCTTGAACTAGAGTTATAGGTGGTTTTTAGCTGCTATGTGAGTTCTGGGAACCAAACCTGGGTCCCCTACAAGAGCCCAAGTACTTAAACATCTGAGCCATCTTTCCAGCCCTTACTTTTTAAATTTCCGACATTGTCTGGTCTTTGTTGATCCTGTCTCTATTTGCATTTCTGCTGTTACCCTCATACTTTGTTTTGTTCTCTGGTTTTATTTATTTAGTTCCTTGAAATTATGGGTGATGGCTACTTAAATGATTTTCTGGCTTGCTCATGGGCTGTTTCTGTTTTCCTCCTTTCCCTCCCTGCATGTATGAAGGGTTACACCTTTCTGTTTCATTGATGTCTTGTAATGGCTCTGTTGAAAAGGGCAGTTTAGATATATTGGAGTCACTTTGGGTGCAAGTTTCCCCTCCTCCTTCACCCTGGCTTCTTACACTCTTTGTTTATTCCTTTGCTCACTGCTTGTCACCTGTCCTCCATCACCTCCATTCCTGTAGCTCTTCCCTTTCAGTGTGGAGCTCCTGTGGCCCCATTCAGTAGCATACCTGAGTCAAGAAAGTGTCCCACAAGTGGGACTTGGGGTGAAGGAAAGGTTCCCTTCTCGCTGTAATTCCCTACAACTGAGCCTTCACCACTGGTAGGTGGGGTGGCTGAGAAATGAGGGGTTCCAGCCCTTGGCTGTGGAGCGGGGCCAAGGGAACCTGGGTCCTTGTCCAAGAGCCATGAATTGTTATTGCCGTTCTAAACACCTTTTCATAAATTTCTGGAGTTACAGGTGTCTTTTCGTTTAGTGCTTGTTCTTAGAATCATTCTCAGAGACTTTATATGGTCACTTTTGGAAAGTAGTTCCCATCAGGTTCGGTGGGAGTCTGGTCTGGATAAGAGTTGATAGACTGCTTTTTTAGAACCTTAGTTCGTTTCCAGCCCCTTGCTAGAGAAACGCCCAAGGCTTTATAGGTGTGTGGATCATCCTGCTGCCCTGGGGGCACTCTGCAGAGCGGACCAACGGTCCTCTTTATTTTCAAGTCTTTTATTGTTGTTTTCTTTCTCAGAAGCATGTCTAAAATGAAAACTAGTTTCAGTTGCTAATAATAACAGTAACTATCAGTGCCTTTCATTGATCAGTTTCTAGTTTAAATATTTTTAAACTTCCAGAAAATTTATGGGCTAATAGCTTCATTTTATAAAAATAGAAGCCGAGATCCCCTTGCTGTCTGCCTGCTTCTAACACCCTTCTGTCAATCACAGTGGCCGCTTTCCCTGAGGTGTAAGCTGTGCTCTGTGTGAAGTCCTCACTTAGTATGGAAAAGGGTGAAACACCCTGCTGCAGGTTTGAATGCCTGCTGTAATGATAAGATTTCGGATATACTGGACTTAAATAAATTGTAGTGAGGTTTGCATGTTAGGGTTCAGCTTTTACTTTTTATAAAAGGTGGCTACTAGAAAGCTCATAGCTTGCATCATATTTCTGTTAGCATATTTGGAAAATGTGAAGATTGTCCCTTTTGCAGCAGAGGCAAAGGAGTGCTGAGATCTCAGAGTCTCATGTCACCGAGAAAGCATTGCACTAAACTTGTTAAAACAACTCTTCTATTAGTGATTCTTAAAATGCTCTGTAAGTAGTGTTCAACAAATTTTCTTTGGCGTACTTTTATTTAAAAATCCTTAATTCTTAAAAATAAATACCTGAGGAATTACAGTAACTATATATAGAACTTTGCATCTGGAATTCTCAGGCTAGAATCTTTAAGGAATCTGGGCTTTTAAATTTTTAAAATTTTTTTTATTTTTATGTGTATGTGTGTTTTACTGCATTTATGTAAGTGCACCCATGTGTGCAATGCCTATGGAGGCCAGAAGAAGGCATTGGATTCCCTGGAGCTGGAGTTATGGACAGTTGTTAGCTGCTCTGTGGGTGCTGGGAACTGTACCTGGGTCCTCTGAAAGAGAAGCCAGTGCTCTTAACTGCTGAGCATCTCTCCAGCCCTGGAGCTGTTTTTGTAGTTGATTGTGCTGTGTCTGTGTTGATTTAAGCAAAACTAACTTGAATGGACTCTTCCTCCCAGATGATGACTTTGACCAGTTGGATAAGCCTGGTGCAGAGCGGTCCTGGAGGAGAAGGGCGGCAGATGAGGACTGGGACAGGTAAGTGTACACTGGGTTGCTCTGAGTATCGGTGCTGACTTGATGATTCTACTGCTGAGATAAATAGCTTACCAAAATCAGTGGGCTGACCCCTGAAATATGAAGCCTCTGGGGTGGGAGGATTTCCTAAGAGGCTTGTGTTGTAAGTAGTTTCTTCAGAGCATGAGCCTTTCTTCCTTTCTCCCTCCTCCCCTCTCTCTATCTGTTTTAAGTACCTGAATCAGTTTATGTGCCACATGCATGCAGATGACCTTGGAGGCCAAAGAACATGGGATCCCTTGGAACTAGGGTTGTAGGTGATTGTGCGCTGCCTGATGTGGGTGCTGGGAACTGAACGCAGGTCTTGTGCCAGAGCAGCAAGTGCTCTTACTAGGTGAACAATCTCTCTAGCCCCTTTCTGTGTTTTTTTGAAACAGGGTTTCCCTGTAGCTCCAGCTGGCCTGGAACTCATGAGGTAGATCAAGCTGGCCTTGAACTCACAGAGAGTCACCTGCCTCTGTCTCCCAAGTGCTGGGATTAAAGGTGTGCATCACCACTGGTGATGATGATTTGTACAAACTTACTTTGCTGAGAAAGTATAAAATTCATCTTGGACTCGCAAACCGGAATGTTTAGTGATGAAGGTAAATAGATCTGAATAAAGAATAAGAATGTACTGTGATTAAATACCTGATTTCTGTTTGGGAGCCCCAGTGCCCCAGAAGCTGTACAGAACAATCTACAACAGAGTCACCTCCCACAGTCTGCATAACAGGGTCTGCTGCTCTTCCGTGACTAAGTGTATGAGCCAGCGGTCTCTAGAGAAAGAGCTAGTAGGATGTGAAAGATGTATTTTATTCATATGTGTGTGTCCAGTCTGTGGGTGAGTATGTCCTGTGTATTTCTGAAGAATTTCATTTTTTTTAACAGAATATAGTCTTCCTGAAGTTGATTGGATTGATACTTATTTAGAATTTCAGGCACATGTGAAGGTATAATCGTAGCACAATACACGAACCCAGTGCACTGTTACCCAGCCTGAGCAGTTAATTGGTTGATATGTGTACTGTTTACAGATCTCTCAAACCTGACACAGCTTTACCTGGAAATACTTCAGAATGCATTTCTAAAAAATGGAGAAGTTAGAAATATAGCCACAAGAGTTACCTAAGAACAATTCCATGCTATTTATGTATCTTGTTAATGTCCATAATTCCCTCATTGTCATGTTTATATATGTATGCATGTGTGTATACAAGCTAAAGATCCATGTGTAAGTAAAAAATTCACATGTAAATATTTTGCATACTCACACAGTGTAGTACATGCCTGTTCTTTTCTACGCTTTGAATTGATCCAAGTAAAGCCACATGTTATAATTGATGGGCAAGTATTTTAAAGTGTTTCATCTGTTGGGTCTTGCCGCCATGTCAGCTTTTGTTGCTATGGTAAAGTACTTGAGACAGTTAACACACAGAGGTGTGTGTTATGGCTCCTGCTTCTGGAGGTTCTAGTCCACTATTGAGTGGCCCAGGTGCCATGGTGGAAGCATATAGCCAAGAAAAAGGGCCACCTTAGGAGCTGGGGACACACCATGTCCCACTGCCTGTGGAGGCCGCTCCCAGAACCTCTCGTTAGGCCCTGTCTCCTATGAGTTCTACCACTTTCCTGTACCACCCTGGGGACCGGGTCTTTAATTGAAGTGTGTGCCTTGGAGACAAGTTATTCAGAACCCAAGCATTTTAGTTCTTTGTGAACTTTTCCAGGGTTTCTGCTTGGGTGATTATATCCGCACAGGTATTCATAACCCCTTGTGTGTTACGTAAACGAATAGGTATAGAGGTTGATTATACTGCAGTTTGAGTTTAGGGAGCCCTGGGTGCTTGGAGGTCTCTCAGTTTTGCCATTCACCTCTGTCAGGAGCCGTGTGCTTCTGGAGAGCTTAGAGTGGTGACAGCTGTTCTTCTGTTACCTGATACTTCTATAACTAGTGGGTTCTTCTGAGGTGCAGAGTAGACAGGAGACAGGTGATTTCTTTTATTTGCCCATTTTTAAAGTAATTACGGCTGGAGAGATGGCTCAGTGCTTAGGCCCTGGCTGCTCTTGCAGAGGACCAGATGGTTCCTAGACCCACATCAGGTGTCTCACAACTTGTAACTGTAGTTCCAGGGGACATGGTGCCTTCTTCTGGCATCCACAGACACTGGCACACATATGCTTACACATATACAGACATATACACACATATACATAAAATTAAAAAAAATTTAAAAAGCAAAGTAACTAGATCTTCCAGCGAGGAGCTTTGTTTTGGAATCATCTTCACATCAGAGATTGCAGTGTCAGTGCTCAGACTGCCCTCATAGTCCCTTGGTGACATCTCCCTAGCTGGCTCCTGAGTCTCCGATGTGACTTCCGTCTTGGACAGCTTTCTTGCTTCCTGCTGTGCTGGAGCTCGGTTGTGCTGTGAGATGGTTTCCAGCTCTCTTATCTTTCTCAGCGTGGGTAGCAGTTGTCTGTGGTTCATGAACCAGCTTTTCTTCACAGTCTTCAGTGTCGTGTCTGCACAGAGGGAAATCCTGGTTCATGCATGTTTCTTCACTACTTTTTAAGCATAAAACACCTTCTTCTGCCTGCCGAATAATGGAGAAAATTGGCAGTTTAGAAGCGTGCTCTGAAAAACTTTTGTCCTATTGCATCAGTGAAATTCGCCAAAGCAGCATCTGCAGTTTTTAAGTGCAGGCACTGAGAAGGGCTTACCTGAAGATGATTTAGTGAAGGTCTGTTTCCTGGGCAGGCTTAAAGAGGGACTTGAGTGGGGAGCACCCAGGAAGTAGTAGTTTCTGCCCAGGCCCTAGGGGGAGCTGTCGTGGGGCTGTTCCCTGCCCTGCTGTTCCTGCCCTGCCTTGGTGTGGTGAGAAGGGAGGGCTGGTTTCTGTCTTCCTGCTTGGTGGCATTTCCTAGGTGTTTTCGATTGGCTGAATGCAGCTAGAACCCAGAGGTGTGTACAGTGTGGGAGCCGTTCCTGGAGGACACAGTGCAGGTCCAGAGTGGGGACAAGTACTGTAGGGTAGACTGAAGTATAGGGGATGTGAGACTGTGAGCCTCAAGCAGGCCAGGCTGTCATACTTAGGACTGTGAAAGGCTGAGGCCATGGAGTTGACACTCAAATGCAAAGTCATTCAAAGTGGCTTATTCCAAGTGCATTGCTTGTCAGTAAAAGTTGCACACACTGTCGTATTTGCTTGTGTAATTATAACACCTGCTCTTAATACCGTCCCAATTAATGTGACCTAGAAATAAGGTATTACCTTTCATTTTCAGTCAAAGTCGTGGCCTGGAGGAAAACTCATTTTCAGAGAGGTGCTTGCATGGTTTTGGTCATACAGCATCAGGTTTCAGATAGGGCTGTTGTAAATATCGTTGATTACACAGCCTGTTTTCCTTACCTCCTAATAGTAATGCAGAAGCTGCACAAGTTGGTTTAAAAATGTTGGAAAGGGCCAGGCGTGGTGGTGCATGCCTTTAGTTCTAGCACTTGGAAGACAGAGGCAGGTGGATTTCTATGAGTTCAAGGCCGGCCTTGTCTACAAAGTGAGTTCCAGGCCAGTTGAGGCTACAGAGACCCTGTCTCAAAAAGACCAAAAAAAAATGTTGGAAAGGGACTGGAGTGAAGGCTCAGTGGTTAAGAGCAATGGTTGCTCTTACAGAAGACCTGCCTTTGGTTCCCAGCACCCACATGACAGCTGACAACTGTCAGTAATTCCAGTTCCAGAGGACCCCGTGCCCTCTTCTGGCCTCTGTGGGCACCTCATGCACTTACATATATGCAGGCAAAACACACACATAAAATAAGAATAAATTAAAAATTTAAAAAGTTGGAAGGAGCTGTGCACTGTCTCTTAAGGCTGTCAATTAGAATCTGAAACATTGTTCCTCAAAGTCTTTGTGTCTTGGCATTCTTCTCTGGTGTATGATGTCGTAGGCTGGATGACTGATGTATGATGTCGTAGTCTTTGTGACTGGTGTATGATGTCGTAGTCTGGATGACTGGTGTATGATGTCGTAGTCTGTGTGACTGGTGTATGATGTCATAGTGTGTGTGACTGGTGTATGATATCGTAGTCTGAGAGACTGGTGTATGATGTCGTAGTCTGAGAGACTGGTGTATGATGTCGTAGTCTGAGAGACTGGTGTATGATGTCGTAGTCTGTGTGACTGGTGTGTGATGTCGTAGTCTGTGTGACTGGTGGGTGATGTCGTAGTCTGTGTGACTGGTGGGTGATGTCGTAGTCTGTGTGACTAGTGTATGATGTTGGAGTCTGGACTGTATTTAAAGTTCTGTCCTTATTTTCATCTGTGAAGTCAGGATATAAGACATTTCGCAGAATAACTTAAAATTACTAAGTCTTTGGGTTATGAGCTAAATGATTTGTCAGATGGTTTCTGGTTCTAAAAGGCCATGTAGGATGCATTTCTCTTATAACTCCATCATGCCCAGATTCTAGTACTGTGTCAAGCAGTATTGTGTAAAGTAGTATTGTATAAAGCAGTATGCTGAAACCAGTAAAGAGGTACTGGCATTCATCTCAAAACCTGTAGAACTTAGTGGAGCCCCTGTGAAAAGACCAACATCTCAGTAAGATTGGTGTGCTTAGTCTTTACCTTGGGCCTCTCTGTACCTGGCATCGCAGTTTGATTGTGTCTGTCCTCTCCGTTGGTCTTTAAAGACATCTGCTTCTATGAAATTGATTCCCCAAGTTGAGAACATAATCTAGTGGTGGCCGCATTTCCACCCATCAGAAAATGTTTTGGCATGTTTTCTCTCCCTTGGGGATCTGGATGTTTTACTAGTGACATGATGTAGATGCAGACTGTCCTGGGAGCAAAGGGGACTTGTGGGAAGGGGGAGAAGGCGGCATTATATACTTGGCGTGAAGAAGGCCTCATGTCACCCTGTGTAATAAAAAAAATTAAAAGTAAATAGTAAGGTGAAGTATTTCGGCTTCTTGACATGCTAAGAACACACGGTGGTGACTGCTATGACCATCACCCCACATAGTCACTGGGGCATGATTTTATGATGTCATTTTAAATTTCTTTTTAAAAAAAATTCATTATTTTTATTTTATGTGTTATGCATGTATTATCTGCATGTAGGTGAGTGCACCTGTGTCGTGCAGTGCCCGAGGAAGACAGAGAGGCTGTCGGATCTCCTGGAACTGGAGTTACGGACAGTTGTTAGCTGTCATGTGGGTGCTGGGATTTGAACCTGGGTCTTCTGCAAGAACAACCAGTGTTCTTAACTGCTGAGCCATCTTTCCAGCCCCCTAAATTTCTTTTTTAAAAAGATGTTGAAAGAATTTTGGTTATTTTTGTGTGTGTGTGTGTGCCACATATGTGCTTGTACCCACAGAGGACATGGGGTGTTGGATCTTTTGGAGCTCGACTTGAAGGCACATAGTTTCTTTTGCTGATTATTCAGTAGGTACAAAGAGATGAAGTTTGCCTATTGAGGTGCAGAACTCCAGATTAGAAGTCTAGTAAGCCGTCCTCTGCACTGCTGCCTGTCCTCAGCTGTCTTTGGAAGCGTCTTGTGTAGCTGACTTCACCTTGAAAGTTCCAAACCCTCAAGCCCTCAGTTCCCACCTCCCAGTCCCGTAGGACTAACACTTTGCTTTTCTCTTCCCCAGTGAGCTTGAAGATGACTTACTTGGGGAAGATTTCCTGTCTGGCAAAAAGGTAAGAAATGAGGTGACTTAAACAACCTTTTAGATGTACATAAACCACAGGAATAACCGCCACCTACCCATGGGGTGCATTGTTGGAGAGTTGGAGCAAAAAAAATTGTTTTTTTTTTTTCTTTTTGGGACAGGGTCTCCCTGTAGCCCCGGCTGGCCCAGCATGCCTTGAACTCACAGAGATCCGCCTGCCTCTGCCTCCCTCCCGAGTGCTGGGATTAAAGGCATGCGCCACCATGCCTGGCCTTGGAGCAGAATTTTGTAAATTGAACTATGACTTGTTTTGTTTCTTGCTGGAGATTGACCCCAGAGCCTCACAGGGGCTAAGCGTGCATTCTGTTAGCTGGGCCCCAGCCTGCACAGTAGTGCTGTTCTCTTGTTGCTCAAGCAGGAAGTCTCGAAGCAGCTGCTTTAGTTCTCATGGTATCTGAGAACTCTAGAGGGTGTTAGATGTGAATAACTGTAGTGGGAGTTGCCTCTCGCCTTCCAGGCATGTAAGGGTTATAGGTTTGATGCTTTACTTTCTAGTTCTGGGTTTCTCTTGGAATTCACTGATAGACTTAAAGATAAACATGCTGAAATCTTGGATGTCTTCATATAAATAGGATTTAAAGTGTCCATGGAGGCTTTTCTTAGCCTTTTTGATTAAGCAGTAACTTTGAAGGAGGTGTGTTTACTGTGTGTCTGTCTCTCTGTACTATCCTTCCAATCCTTTTCAAGCATAAAGTGTACACAAAGCAGAGGTGCAAAGCAAGAGATGCAAGTGAAACCTTAATTGTATTTATTTGCGTGTGTATGGTACGTCTGTGTGTATGCATACCTTTAGGTGGGGGCTCATGTTGGCTGGCACATGTATGTGGAGGCATGACATCGATGCTGGGTGTCTTCCTCCACCACTGTCTGCTTGATTTAACCAGGCAGGTTTCTGCTCCACCCAGAGCTTGTTGATGGGGCCAGTCCAGCTAGCACCTTGCCCCAGGGGTCCCTGTCTCCACTTCTCAAGCTCTGGGGTTGCAGGTGGACCACTATGTCCACCCAGCTTCTGCTTAGGTATTGGATCTGAACTCAGGTCCTCTTGTTTGCACAGCAGCTGCTTTATACACTGAGCATCTCCCCAGCCCCTGAAAGTGAATTAAAAAATGTTTTGTTTACTAATAATTTAAAAATGCTGTTTTCATTTAATATCAACGTAGTTACTTTTTTTTTTTTTTTACAGACTGGCATTTGTGAGTGTATGTATACATGCACACGTTTGTGTGAGTGGGTATGCTTGTACATGTGTGTATGTAGACACCATAGGTTGACATCAGGCGCCTTCCTTAATCTCTTGCCACCTTAGATTTTGAGACAGGCTGTTTGACTGAATGCTGGCTGTCAAGCGCCCACAGGAGCCCCCGTCTCCATCTCCCTGGTGCTGGGGTTCTAGGTGCATGCTGCTACACCTGGCTTTTACATGCATGGTGCTAGGGATCAAACACTGGTCTTCACGCTTGGAGGGCTTCACTGACTGAGCCATCTCCCAGCTCAACAGAATTCTTTATGTTTCGTTTTTTAAGTCTTGAAATTATGATGGATTTGTACTCTAAAGAACTATACTGAAGTTCATTAACATTTACAGGTGAAGATTCATAAGTAATATCGATGGTGCAAGTCCATTTCAGATGATAGGTTCAAGTTTTTGGTGCTTTATCACCTCGTTGTGATATTGCCAAGACTGTCCACCAGAAGTGCCTGCTCTGCCTCTCGCAGTGTCCTGTGCCATACCAGCACTTTGCCTAATCTGAGTGTGATTAGGACCCCCTGACTCTGCTTTTCTTTCTGTGTTCTGCTTCCTTTTGATCATTTCCTGTGTGTAACCTGGTTCTGGACCATCCCAACTCCTGACAGGGCCTACCATAGCAGGCTTTTTTTGTTGTTGTTGTTATTTAGTAAATGATTACTTAACTGATTTTTTTTAAACAGTAAGTGTTTAAACTACAAATACATACACAGGGAAGCAGTCCCTTGAAGTTTGGCTTTTACACCCAC